ATAAATTAACTTATTTCAATATATAAATAATTAATTTCTTCTCTCCAGACCACGGTTGAAACATAAATTAACTTATTTCAATATATAAATAATTAATTTCTTCTCTCCAGACCACGGTTGAAACATAAATTAATATATTTCAATATATAAATAATTAATTTCTTCTCCCCAGACCACGGTTGAAACATAAAACGGAATATATTTCAATATATGTCTTTAAATCTTTTGAGTGAAATGTACGAAACTTGTAAAAATGCAAAAATCTCTAATTACTGAACAAGATATTAATATCATTACAGAAAACACATATATCATTTTCATCCTTTTAAATTAATTTCTTCACATTCTCTGGGTACGTAAAAATAGAGAGAGTTTAAAGAAGATACACAAGTACGGCATATCTTTACCAAGTATTTCATATTATATTTAGTAGCAGAATTGAATAGCACGGAACTTTAGTGAAAATTATGTTTCAGTTGTTAAAAAAACAATTCACATCTCACTGATCAATCCTGTAGTTTGAATAGTTTTCCTAAGACAGAAATATTACATTAGAACCTCTTACTTTGAGGAAACGCTATTATAATTTCCGAGATGTTGACTTTTAAAAGAAAAACAAAACTTTTAAGAAAATATCGATCGACTCCATGTTCTGTATACAGCGAAGAGTCGATTAAGATAAAAGTTCATGTGAAAATTTCGTCGACTAACCAAATGTACAAGCTCAAGCTTTACACTATTATTATCTCTACTAATAATATATAGAACAGACTGGGGAACTATGCTAAGAGTAAACCCTAATTGAGTCAACTTGTGAGAAAGACAATATGAGGGCTAATGTACCTGAAACCGAGAGAGAAAAACAAGTAATAGTGTTAAGTTTGATCATCTTGAACTTTTAATCAACTAGGACACACAGTGACCATGTGCCTACTAAGTACGTTATTAGTAAGTAAATATTGTTCTCCGCAATAGTTCATTTCAGATTTCTTTTAAAAACTTGCTGGCCACAAATACTTTTCCATGCAGTAAGTGTAAAACGAGGCCTAAGTAAAAAATCGCTTCCACTACCAGTTAGGCCTTATATTTTACCTTCATTACACCTACATTCTGTGACTCGTATCAGATGGTCTTAAAGTAAAGAAAATAAAATAAACTTACAATAATTAATAAATAAAATATACTGCCAAGTGTGATCCTTCTTACAATTCAGATATCAAATTTTTAAAACTGCAAGCCTTAAGTTTTAAGTTAAAAAAAATATATCCAACTTAAGCTGTTCTCCGAGACCTACCCAAACATTACATGCCGAGACACGTATGGTTATCTGATATCTTCCATCAGCACAAATCACTACCTGCTACATGCTTAATTTGATGTTCTTACTGCAATATACTTTAACAAACATCAGCCAGCTACATAAGATATTAATTACAAATTACCTTAATGTTACACTTTATTAGTTTTCAAAAATTTTATTAATGATATAATTGTATTTTACTCACCATTATCACCAAAAAAGCTTGTTGAAATAAAGATAACATTGCCTCCTAAAAATAAATAAATAAATTGTTGAGTAATATATATATCCAATCAAAATATAA